TTCATGTGAGTTTTCTATTCTAACTTCCATTGGGGGTTGATAAATGGTCGTAACATTTCAGCTGAATGAAATAATTTGATAAAATGAAGTGAGGAATATATATATTCTAAAAGTTCAATTTTTTAGGCCATTTGCAAGAAAATTGCCACCTTTTTTTTTTACTTATTCTATTATTGTGTTCATAGAGTTATCTATTATATATTTTTATTGCGATTGATAAATGGTTTCAAGATGTCAGCTGAATGAAATGGTTTAAGTAAATTAAGTATAGGTGTATAATATTGACTTCTTATATTAAATGTTATGAATTTAATCAATAGTTCATTGCACATGAAAGAAGTTAAAATCAATGACTGTAGTTTTTCGGTACCAAAAAATTGTATAGGATTTTTATGAGTTTATGTTGTTATGGATTTCCTTCTATTTTAGTTTTGTTATATAAATTATGGGCAATCTGGAATTTTGTGATATGTGTAGGATCTCTCAGATATTGGTATCAACGGAACAAAGTGGATTTTTTGGTTTCCCAGTCTGCTGTTTGGAATGATGATGCTGTTCAGGGGTCTCTTGATTGTGCTGCATATTGGGTCAAAGACTTGCCTTTTGTTAAGTCCTTGTCTGGATATTGGAAATTTTTCATCGCTGACAGGCCCAGCAATGTTCCAACTAATTTTTATGAAAGTGAGTTCCACGATTCAGAGTGGAAAAATTTGCCTGGTAAGTGCTCATGTTTAAGTGCGTATATGTTATTCGTAAAACGCCTTTGCATTCACTGTGTCTGCTTAATTTCTTCACAATGTTCTCTAAATTTTGCTTTACTAAAGAGTTTGTTGTAGTGGTGAAATGCTATTATTTTGCTTTGAATATGAATTGATTTTTGTCATTTTCTGTTCTTACTCAGTGCTGATATTTTTATCCATGTTTAATTATCTTTTGTCAAAATTGGACAGTTCCTTCGAATTGGCAGTTACACGGATTTGATGTTCCTATATATACGAACGTGGTGTATCCATTTCCGCTAGATCCTCCTTTCGTTCCAAGTGAAAATCCTACTGGCTGTTACAGAACGTACTTCCAAATTCCTAAAGAATGGGAGGGTATGACTTGCTGAATTTCCTTATGCTGTTTTTTCTTTTCTTCTGTAGATTGACATACACTATTGAGGAATTTGGTGTTGCCATTCTCTTGTTTTCATTCAATTCTCTATGTTAGTGCATTGTACTTCAAAGGTAATTAGGAAGCCATTGTATGACATTGTTTTTGTGGAATATATGAAGTGTTGTTGTTCTGTACCACATGTTGTGGAAAAGTTGTATCCTGTAGGTTTTAATCGCCACCAGTACTTGCTGTTTTTAAGTTTAAAATACTTACTTCGGAACATTGATTGGTTTTCTGTAGGTAGAAGAATTTTGTTGCATTTTGAAGCAGTTGATTCTGCCTTTTGTGCATGGATAAATGGGAATCCTGTTGGATATAGGTATCTCTCTCTCTCTCTCTGATATGCAGATCATACAAACTTGAACATGATTACAAACTTGCTGGTTAGTATTTTTCTATTGTATTTTCAACTCTAGCATATGTGATGCTAG